GAGGTTCTTTAATTCCTCCTCACTTTCTGCCATCAGAGTGGTATCATCTGCATATCTGAGGTTGTTGATATTTCTACTGGCAATCTTAATCTTACTCTGTTTCAACAGCAAGAAAAACACAAGCGAAACAAAAACTATAGGTTTGGCAGCTCCTTTAACAATTTCAGTGTAAGCTTTTGTTTATTTATTCATTTATTTTGTTTACAATGTGGTTCAGAGAATTGTGTGTGGCTCAGTGGTTGAAACCCTTTTTGTTTTCCTTCTTTTGATTCAAACGTTCTGTAACTTTTTTTGTGGCAGTGTATCAACCATATAGATTTCCAGGAAAAGAGAAATTATTTTACTAGAGAGGGAAGACAGCACATGAAGAGAAAGAGCAATGATGATAAATGTATAGCCACGGAGCAGGTTGACTACCTCCCCTCTCCACACCATACCTTAGAAGAAATAAAGGGACAGAAAATGAAAAGAGTCTTTCATTATAGCAAAATAATTATCAATTATCTGTAGCTATTTGTTTAAAGTTGGAGAAATGATACAATTATATATCTGTAAAGAAATCTTAGACATTTAGAAAGTGTCTGTTAAATAGTACAAGGCTAAGGCTTGTTTGTCGATTAGTTACTGTACTGCTGACATTTTCTGTACATCCTTGTCTTCCTTACAGAAACAAACTGAATGTGTTTCTGTAACCAGAGCCTGTAGGAAGCCCTGAAGCTATGTGGTGTGTCATTATTTTTAATTCAGACTTGCTGTCCTATAGTACTTCACAAAAAATGACTGAATCCTGGTCTCCTCCGTAGATCAGTGATGTCTACTGTCATTAAAACTTATTTCAAGAGATAGACAAATTCACAGTGGCCTATTTTTTTGAAGAAAAAAAAAGGTAGACTATATATAAACTTAGGAAGAGAGGAAAAATAGGAAACTTATTTAGACCTTATCTTGTTGGCTCTGGCCGGTAACAGCTCCCCAGGGAAGATTCCTTCCTAGTTCTTATTTGATATGTTAGTTTTCTGTATGCACAGTATGGGCTCCCCGTGGCAACCCCTTGTCTTCCTTAATGGTCTCCCAAGTATTAACAGGTCCAACATAAATTCTAAAGTTATACAAGATCAGGCATGTTTAGGGTTGTTGTTGTTTAGTCATTAAGTTGTGTCCAACTCTTCATGACCCCATGGACCAGAGCACACCAGGCCCTCCTGTCTTTCACTTCCTCCCGGAATTGTGTCAAATTCATGTTGGTAGCTTTGGTGATACTATCCAGTCATGTTTAGGGTAATATGGTGATTATGGTTCCAGAGCATCATCAGTTCTGGATACTTTCAACAAGTCATTATGCACATTTCTCTAAACAGTAACATTCCAAGCTTGGCTAAAGAACATATTTAGTTTTCATTCTTTTTTTAAAATGTCACTGTAACACCTAACAGGCAATATTCTTGGAGCACTTTATCAGTATAAAAACCAAAAACAATTAATAAATCACACATTTTACAATAAAACAATTACCTCAGCCATACTGCTTATGATGTTCTAAAACACTAGCATGTTAAAATAGTGACATAATAACTGAAATCCTGTTGTTCAGTGAAATTGCATTAGAGTAGGGCCATTAAGTCAGTGGGATTTGTTGAGTTAATTCCTCTGTACAATCATTATCTTCGTCATCTTAGAACTGTAGAACTGGAAAGGACTATATATGGATCACAGAGACAGAGAGAAATCTTTATTATGACCAGTGAATCAGATAAAAACTAATATCACAAAACAATGGTTAATATTGCTAATCATTGTCATCATTTTCATCTAAGAACTGCAGAGGTGGAAGGGACCCTATGGATCATTGAGTCCAGTCCTTGTCAACAAAGCATGGTGGAAAATTGAATTCTCTACCTCTGGCTCCACAGCCAGATACCTAAATCACTGTGTCATCCATGGGCATTGTTTGCTTCACATTAAGTATACATTGCATAAAACTAACATGTAAAAATAGAAATTTAACAAGGTAATCAATACAGATTTTATAACATAATTTCACATTAGCAAGCCATTGTGTGTTTAATCGTTTAGTCGTGTCCGACTCTTTGTGACCCCATGGCCCACAGCACACCAGGCTCTCCTGTCTTCCACTGCCTCCCGGAGTTGTGTCAAATTCATGTTGGTTGCTTCGATGACACTGTCCAACCATCTCATCCTCTGTCGTCCCCTTCTCCTCTTGCCCTCACACTTTCCTAACATCAAAGTCTTTTCCAAGGAGTCTTCTCTTCTCATGAGATGGCCAAAGTATTGGAGCTTCAGCTTCAGGATCTGTCCTTCCAGTGAGCACTCAGGCTTGATTTCCTTTAGAATGGATAGGTTTGTCCTCCTTGCAGTCCAGGGGACTCTCAAGAGCCTCCTCTAACACCACAATTCAAAAGCATCAATTCTTC